ATGTATCACTGATTCTTAATCCACCGCACGAACCTATGGGACCAGAAAAGCATGAGCTTGTAAGTTATTCCCATAATAAATCTTTGAATCTTTGACCTCAGCCTCCGGAAGATTGACGACTATGACGCATCGTGGGCGGTGGTGGCCCGGTGGTAACGTCACCAAACTAACACCTTGGGGAACGTGTGTTCGAACCCCATCGCTATTGCTTGACTTTCCCCATGGTAGCTCTTTGATTGGCCGCTTCCTCCTTCCTGAAAATTGTATCATTGTGTATTCAATATAATGCAGAAAAATTAAAAAAGGAACCTTCCTCTACTGCACAGGCTCTTGGGAAACGCGAGGGCTTTTGTCAGTGGGTCGTGATAGGTTACCTGTATATTGCTTGGGTTCCGTGAACGTCGTGGAAGCCGAGTCCGTTTGTGGGAGCAGTGCAGAAAAAGATAGCACTGGCCTTTTTCCACCGCGGTCCGGTTTTAAGAGCTGCTATCGCCGATGGAGTGACGATGACATACGAAGGGGCTACTGTCACCACTGGAACCAGTGTTATGGGGACTGAACCGTTGATCGCTATTGGAATAGCGCTTTCTTTCGATATGGAGATCAAACACCTGCAGCACACGATCTTCAAGAATGGAGAGAGACATTTCTCCAGCCAATCGTACCTGTGCGCATCGATGTGGGAACCTTTTAGATGTAACTACCCATCACAACCATCGCAACGGAACGCTTTGGCCATGGGGCCCGCAATCCCGAAGCAGCCCACACACGTTCTTACCCACCTCACTTTTCTGGAACATTTCAAATAAAATAGATTCAGTGAGGATGCACAAGTACTACAATGTAATAATTGGATTACCCACACGGAGGAAACCGGCTTTCCTCGGTCCTCATACGTTTCCATATGCTAAAATATCAGTAGTGATTGCCGCATACATGTATTAGTCTGTCTTCCGGTCCATTTATACGACTGTATTCTCTTTTCCTACACTTCAGTCAGGGTAGAAAGCACCGACCCGCCGTATTTAAACGCGTACTCGTCCAGTACGTTATTTGGGGCCTGTGTTGGCTTGCGCTGTCAACCCTCGTGGATCGTTGGGCCNACGGTCGGTGGACAATGAATCAATGGAATTTTCTCCAGTTCAATCTTTTCGGTGGTGGTGCACACGCGTACGGTGTACATCCGTGGCATTGGTATCTCAGTCAAGGTCTGCCCGCAATGCTTCTCACTCAAATCCCGTTCATCATAGTGGGTATTGTAAGTGATTGGTCCAGCACTCAACCCAAAGAGCGGAAGCTGTCAAGTCATGTACTGACTGCTCTCTTTGCATGGACCACGTTCTGCTACAGGTGAGTAAGCGCTATGTATCTGTCTCCCTCCTGGCATTTGGATGTCTTCAGTTTTTACAACAATTAATCATGCACTATTGTACTCAGGCTTTGGTTGCTGCCTCGTGACTACCCAATCTGGATGAAGTTTGAGGAATATTTAAATCAGCGCCAGAATGAAACTAGGGAATTCATGAAGATCTAGTTTGCAATAAAATTGAAAAGACGCCGAAGCACTACTGTTCATGACACCCAATCATATCACTCATTTTCTCTAACCATTGATTACGCTGGTTTCAGTGTCCCTATCCAGGAAGCGGCTTGTGTGTGCACTTGAGACCATAGGCTGATCCATATACTTCTGCGTTATCTCCGTTCATATAAATATAAATATATATATATATGTACGAGAAAGAAATAGCAAAATAAATCCCATCTCGTGTATCTGCTCTCAGGGATCAAAAAAAAGTAAATTTCACAAAATGCGACATATTGTGCTAATTAGAAATATATGCGTTTAAGTAGTATGAAGAATCCCATGTGCATAGGTACTCACTGTTTAGTCCAAGTGGAATCCGAAGTATACAGCTTCGTGTAATTTTGGTGTATCGAAAAAATGGAAATGTTTTGTGATACTCTCAGTGCATTCTGCGTTTAGCCTTTTTCAGATTGAACCGTCTGTTTATCCCGAACCGAGTTACTTCTTTCGACGATGAATGTTTGGACTGGCACATCCGGTTTTTCACGGGCTGATGATGATCCAAGGTGTGGGTTTCATTTATTGGGAAATGGTGAATTCCCCATTATTTAAACGCGATGGAAATCTTTGTAATGACCAACCGAGGGGCGCTTGTTAGCTGTGTCGCTCTGTGTAGGACTCGTCAGCATCCCTGTCAGAATTCCAACTGCGAACCTTCGGGTTTGAAGTCAACACCCTTACCTCAGAGCTACCTTGTCCTGGAAATTTTTTTCTAAGTTAACTACCGAACTTGAATAGAAGTATTGCCCCACTGAATAGCTTTGTGAGACTAGTCACATAATTGAGTACTCAGTGTCCATGATGATCTACAATGGTTCTGTTCATTCGGCTATCACAAAATAAGGCACAATTGACGATTCAGCGTAGACCACGCATGGAATGACTGAATGCTGAATTCGTTGGAAAATCCTTATTCAAGAGAAACCACAATCGAAAACTAGTGAAACGTCCATTACAGGGTATGCACGGAATTTAGTGAGTTCTCATTCGTATTCCAAGCTCACATCGTTCGCTGCGTTACCTATTCATACTTTTCTCGTGAACAATATGTACCGTAAGGGTTGTTGATATCGACTGATTCCATTTCGTCCACTCACTAGAGTGTCCTACGTTGCTATAGGATTGTTTTCTCACTGTTGTGATGTTTTGGTACCGATACATAATTAAGCTGCTCATCGGTTCCACACTTTTCAATGAGTGAGTTAACACTGAAAAAGCAGAATTTTGACTTCGAGTATTCCTTTAATTTTTTCAAACTTACCTTCTTTCAAATGAACTCCAAAATTATGTGTGCGTCATACTAGGTGAAAAATCATCGGGTGGATACAACATTGCATGTTAGTTGATCAACAGTCTTCCCACACATCAGTCAACGATCAAGTGAGTAAGTGTCTGTTCATGCTACTGACGAGGGCGGGGCATTGCATACTCAAGACCTACACCATTACGAATATGGTTGGTTTGTGCGATGGAAGTGCTTGTGGTGACTGACAAAGAGCTCTGAACAGCTGTTTCGTCCTGTTTGGAACTCGTCTACAATGCGTACTTTTGGTGTCCCTTTCAGGACTCGAATCGGGAACCTTCGGATTGAGGCTTCAAACCCTTACGTCTGAGCTACATAGTCGACGGTTATCACCTTGTGTGAAGGGCTCAACCAATGAATGAATGTTTGGATTAACCCATTTGGTTTTTCACATTCACCATGCACTGTTAATGATCTTGGGTGTGTTGGTTTCCCTCCTTGGGAGATCGTTAATTCCCTACTAGTTGAATGCATTTAAATACGTTGGAAATGTTTGTGATAACCGACAGAGATTATCAACAGTGTCTGATGCCTGTAAAAAAACCGAATGGGCCAATGCAGCCTGTAGAACTGAATGAGCGGCGGTGGCGGTAAACTGGAAGTTGTCAAGGCTAATCTCACACACGGCTTGGGCCGACTCAGAAAACACAGTTAGGGCTGAGGCAGTTCATTTCTGCGTAAACAGTGGTTGACTGGATCACTTGACGCCAGTGTACAGACAATTTCATACGTGGCGGTACAGAACGAGGTGTAAAATTTTGATACAATCTAACCAAAACAGAAGTGTGCAGTTGTAAACAGAGAAAAATAGTGAGAAATTACTGAATAAATAATCGTTCAACTTTGGTATTCTGTCATTTGGCATTAAATATTCAGTNTTCGTAGAATTTACACACATTCATCGTCCAAAAACGGTTGGCTTGTGTTTGTAACTATTGATAAATGAAACTTCCCTTGGGTGCCACCTAGCATGACAGTAACTGTGTACATCTTTAGTATACAACCGATGTCACTAAAATTGTCTCTTCTTCGAAGTTTAGATAACGGGAACACCTGTGGTTCTAGCTTCGAATGGGATACCTGTCACTTTTGTCAATCAATGAGCCGGGAGCATCAAACAGAATTTATGGATAGACTATAAAAGAGATTGGGAATAACAATAAAAAATGGCAAAGATAGGAATTGTTCCACTCATACTAAGCACACATTAAATAAGGGTTTTCATTTTTACTTTTAGTTTCGCATCAACCGAATATTTTAAAGTGCATTGATGTAAACATATGGTGTATATTTATTTTAATCGTTCATCAGTTTTGTCGTCATTCTTGTGATATTCACTTCTATACTTTTGACTTCTGATAGAATGCTCATTGTGTCCATTTTTTTTGCTTCATTCACATACATGCCGACCGGGTGTTTACGGCAGTTTGCTGGGTCACAAAGAATTCCGCTTCTTGTTTCCGTTGCTGCCAGTGGCCATGTACTTCTGTGGTCGTGGGACTATATCCTTGTTAGAGCGCTTGAAGAGACGTTTCACGAGAAACCAGAAATCGAATTTCGCATCATCCTTGTTAGTAGTGTTCGTACTGGGCACGCAATTGCCTGTTCTTCTCTATACTAGCCTCGTACATCAGAGGGGTACATTAGACGCAGTCGCGTTCGTCAATCGTGCAATCGATCACTATCACAAATCTCGGTTAAATCGTCTCCAGACCTCAGACTCATGGTCACCGGAAGATTGGTACATTCTATCACTAATGCCTTGTCATTCAATCCCATCCATTGGGTGAGTTTCAACGTCTGTGCTTATCCTTTAACCCATTTGCGAAGTCCTCTGATCTTGTTTATGTGCCCGTTTATGCTAGCATCATGTCATTCAAATGCTAGCCTTTGCATTCACGTGGCCCCGCCACATGAATGTTCACATAGCAATCCAAACTCAGGTGTTTCAGATTTTGCTCTGGTGACTGGTCGAGATCTTCGTTCGTGCACTTAACGAATGGATGGTCATGACGATGACAACACTGCCTGGCATCAAATTAAATTGACTGAACGGATTTGAGGACGGTAAATTCCATCGGGCGATTTCATGTATTTCTTGATATCTTAGATGCACACGTAATAACACACAGGGATTAATATGCTCAGTATTGATCTCTCCGAAAGCTCGAGGAACTCGGATTCTTCTGTGCTTGTGTGTGGCATATGATGTCACATATCGTATTTCTTGAATTTGATTGCATGATGTTTGTTAAAATGTTGCTACCGCTCGGTCACAAGTTATGAGACTTACTGCAATTCAGTTTTTCAAGTTAGTTTTTGGATTAGTGTAGTCTGTTTCCGCTTCATTTCAGATTTTTGCATAAAAACGTCACTATCCGACAATTAAACTGTGACCCAGATCTGTCTCGCTGGTACGGCCAGACGGAACCACATGTGGACGAAGCAGATCAGTTCTACGCAGATCCCGTTGCCTGGCTCATTGCCCATTATCACTCAGTCCAGCCGGGACCTTCATCTCCTCACTTTATCTTGCTTTTCGATCATTTGTTCGCTAAATTTCCTCAGGTTGAACATTTACTGATAACTCGGTGGGCCTATAGAGTCTGTGGTCGTTTTTTTCACGCTCATCTTCTTACTCATAGCCGCTATGGGAATTATGTGTTAGCACTGTGTAGATCAGATGTCACAGTTTGATAAGTTCCTTACTATTATTCATACACATTTTCGTCACTTTGTTTCATTCTTCTCGAATTCAACTATCCCTCTCACTGTGATAACTACTTGCGTATTACCGGGTGTTTTTTTGACGCCTTCGTTTGCAATAAACAAGTTTGCTTCATTCGGTCCCGACTTAAAATCTCCTTTCGTTAACCATACATGTTCATAACTTCAATCTTACATGAACCCCCAGACATAAGTTTTATGCTCCATAAATTCTGACCGTTTTTGCACTTCTAACAGTAACAATAACCATTTCGGGGTTATTCAAATATCAATCGAATAACAAGTTTTGAAACGAAAATTTCTCAAATCTGAATAGAAGGTAAATAGGATGGAAAATGAGGACAAAAGCCATGGAGCAGAACCGACCCTTTCCATTCGTACTATGACTAGAAACTCTTATACTATCGATTTTAGCGCAGTAATAACTCAGCGCAACACTAATACTCATTCCGATCGGAATGAAATCAGAGCACAATTCACAACAACGAAGTCGTTTTGCAATATGCGGGAAGGTAGAATGTACAGGAATATTGTGTTCGATGAAAGAAATGAGTTCTTAATCTATACACCATCAGCACACAAGGTCTGAGTGAATCTTTGTGTGTGTGTGTAACAGACAACAAATTTATCTATTCTTTCCATCGACGCCCTCGTAACCCTGATTCCGGACGAATATCCAAACTGTGGTCAACCCTATAAATACCGCACATTTCCCCCTACTCAATACGCTCCTGGCTGGCACTATCAGTCAATAAAGGCTTGCACTATCCGCAACCGTCTTTGAACTGGAATCGCTGGAAAGCTTTACCAGGTTCTATAGTTGTTTTAGTAGACACAACAGAGAGCATCATCGATGTGATGGATCGTTACTCGGACCGCTCACGACTTAGCAGTGTGACTTGGATGACATTACGCGAACTCCTTTTCAACTGAAATGGTTTTGTGCATTGCTGTCTGACAAATCACACGCCAATAAGCCTACCTGCCTGGAACGTCCTTTCATTACGAGCAATTGCACACCACGGGGTTATGAGTACGATCACAGTTTGTTCTAAAGTTTTACTATCAAAATATACCATTGTGAGTCTTGTTCCGCGAGAGCGCCTGCAATGAGCGCTAGATCATGTTGATCTTGGGAAGCTCAAAATAACCGGGGGAATTCCCAGAATATCAATTAAAAAGCGTCTTTCTGAAGTCGATATAAATGGCCCCTCACTGTGGCCTCCTCGCGCACTTGCACTTTGTCTTCTCAATATTCCGTCAAACGGCCCTTGATTATCATCTAGAACTTGCTAACAGCTTTGCCTGGGCTAAATGGGTCATACGAGCATAACAACCGCGGTCGTAGTTACAGAACTGGATGCCCGAGTATAGGGTGGGGCGCATCAGCTGGGATATGCATAGACGCATTGTCGAAAACGAAGACAGCTTCAGTATTTGGCTCGGTTGGAACAATTTTCGAGAAAATCGTTAAAATGAGATCAATTCAATTACGGAGGACATTCGTAATCCAGGATTCTATCAACTGAAGTACATACCAACACATCAGGATTGGCTTAGTGTTAGAAGAAAGTAATCGCACACACTACAGTAAGCCTTTGGATCGACCGTATGAATGTGAATACTAACTATAAAAATAGTGGTATTAGTGCGTAACTGCAATTGGGGCTGCGGAAAGGCCAGGGCTTGGATTTCCGCCTCATAAAGTGGGTCTGCTGAGGTAGACCATGGGACGTGTGCCGGAATAGCTGCGTGAGAAGCTGACGCAGGAGGCCAGCTAAACTGTGCTTTGAAGTGCTCCACCCAGTCTGCAAAACGTCGTTGTTGATTGTGAATGGGCGAACCGTTAACTTTGCAGATCGTTTTGCTCACATCCAAGGCTTTCCTACCGGTGACCCGGATGAGATGGAACAGCTTACGGGAATTACCTATGACGGCAGCACGTTCTATCTTTGATGCGCGTTGAGACCATCAAATCTCG